AACGCGACACAAAGTCCGTCGGCGCTACACTTGCAGGGCGGATGAGCGCGCGCGAGTGTGTACCACTCAGACGGGCGCAACGGAGACCACCGGCGCGACGCGTGTCGGTGCGAGCTGCTGCTGCTGCTGCCGCCGAAGCAGGTAGGGACTCGACGCGGTCGTCACGTTCACTTGGCGCTTCCGTGCCGAAACCATGGAATGAAGACGGTCGCGCGCGCCGCGTTCGAATGCGCTCTCGCACGCGCGCACGCGAATATCACCGTCATCGCGCGCAACACATGCACGCGCGCACACCACACGCATAAAGATCAGCGCGCGCGAGCCACGGGGTGGGCACACGGTCAGGTGCCATCGGCGGGACGTCCGACCACCGCCGCCACTGTACCGCCGCGGTGGAGACCTGTTGTCGTGACGGTCGCGTTATGACGTCCGCGATGACGCGAACGCGGCTCGCCACCCACCCGCACCGCCAAAACGGTGCGTGTGTGTGTTATATTTACTCGTCGCTACACGCATTTATTATTATTATTATACATATTATCATCATCATTTCGCTGGGTATTACTTTTCCATTGCCACCATCGCCGTGAACGCGTAAAGGCGACGAACGCAACATTTCGCGCACTGCCGCAGATAACACGGTCGGTTGTTGTTGTTGTTTATTTAGGATTTCCGTTTACACCGTCCAAAATAACACGCGCAGTCCTCCGGCGTGCCGTCGTTTCGTTCGGTAATACTGTTATTATAATATTGTTATGTATTTGATTGTATTATTATTTGATTATTACCGCGAGCATATTATATTATTTTTCAACCATGTTCTTCGACAATTGGGAATAATATTCACTTGGCGAGGTCGTCTGAACACGACTTACTGTATTATAACGAATCTTATACCGCAACGACCATAATTTTCCCATACACCATTATTGACTGCGCAAGCCTGTTTTCATCCCTTGATTTGTGTCTGTCTGCACGCGTTACTGCAGGCTACTCGTAATTATTATTATTATTACGTTTTTCGATCTCCCACTCAATCTATTCGACATGTTTACCTACGTCCTGCAGCCCGTGGATTCCTGTATAATGTACGTGACTGAAGTCGATCAATCCGACTACTCGCGTTGAGAGTAACAAGCGTTCGTCACGGTTAATTTAATAGAGACACTACAATATTATTATATTAAATGGTTAACTCTTACGGACCAACACTGCAGTTGGCCGTCGGTATCTTGCTTCTTCTTTATTATTTTTATATATATAAATAGCTCGTTGTAATGTGCGTGTATTTTAATAAAGTTTAAAACAAAACAACCGGCATCATATATCATTATCAAGGATTAAGGGTCACCCTGCAATATAGTCGTAAAATAAACATTTGGTTTAAGAATATCTATATAAAATTATAAATAGACATAAACATGACAATTAATTATTGTCAATTCCAATGACATTACTCTGAAATAGTTTCTATCACGTCTCATGCTGATTATTTATAAAATTACAAGATTAAACAACAAGTATCGTATTTAAATATAACATACCAATATAGTATATGCCATATAGTATTGTAACTGCAGTATACACCAGTTAACATTTTCATACAGTTGCTGAGATATCTAAAAAGTAAAGAAGACGTGATAGAAACTATTTCGAAACCGTAAATAAATCTGAATTGACAATAATTAATTGTCATGTTTATGTCCTATTTATAATTTACATATAGATATTCTTAAATAAATGTTTATTTATGCTATATTGAGGGGTGACCCTTAATCTTATTCGTAATATATGATGCCGGTTGTTTTGTTTTAAACTTTAATCTAAAATACACGCACGATTACAACGAGCCTATTTATATATATAAAAATAATAAAAGAAGAGAAGACAAGATACGACGTGCCAACTGCAGGTGTTTCCGTATGGGGTTACTCATTTAATATAATATAATATTGTAGTGTCTATTAAATTAACAAGTGACGAACGCTTGTTACTCAATACTGAGTAGTCAGTGATTGATCCGACACCAGTCACGTACATTATACAAGGAATCATCAGGCTGCAGGACGCGTAGTAAACATATTCGAATAAGGTGATGTAGGAGATCAGAAACGTAATAATAATAATTACGGTAGCCTGCAGTAACGCGTCAGACCACAAATCAAAGGGATGAAAACGGGCTTGCGCAGTCAATACGGTGTATGGAAAATTCTTATAATCCGTAAAGGTACAGGTATAAGAGCGTTCGTTATAATACAGTAAATGACAAAGTCGTAGTTCAGACGACCTCTTAAGTGAATATTATTCGTGAAGTGTCGAAGAACATGGTTGAAAAATAATATAATATACGCGATAATAATCAAATAATAATATTAATCAATACATACAATATATTATAATATTGTGTACGAACGAAACGACGGCACGCCGGAGGACTGCGCGTGTTGTTTGAGGGCGACAAACGGAATCTAATAAACAACAACAACAACAACAACCAGTGTTATCTGCGGCAGTGGCGAAATATTTGCGTTTCGATGCGCTGCCCGTCGCGTGTTCACGGCGATGGTGGCAATAAGTGCTGTAAGAGTACCCAACCGAAATGATGATGATAATAATAATAATAATAATAATAAATAAACAATAATGACGAGTAAATATAACACACACACACACACCGTTTTGGCGGGTGCGGGTGGTGGCGAGCCGCGTTCGCGTCATCGCGGACGTCGCCGGCGCGCGACCGTCCACGAGCAGGTCTCCCACCACCGCGGCGGTGCAGTGGCGGCAGTGGTCGGACGTCCCGCCGATAGCACCTGTGCGTGCCCGCCCGTGGCTCGCGCGCGTGATGTATGCGTGGTGTGCGCGCGTGCATGTGTTGCGCGCGTGTGTGCGTGCGCGCGTGCGAGCGCGTTCGAACGGCGCGCGCGACCGTCTTCATCCGCTGGTTTCGGCACGGAAGCGCCAAGTGAGCAGTGACGACCGCGTCGAGTCCTCCTTCGGCAGCAGCAGCAGCAGCAGGCTCGCACCGACACGCGTCGCGCCACCCGGTGGTCCTCCGTTTGCGCCCGTCTAGTGTGCACACACTCGCGCGCGCTCGCTCGCCCTGCAGTGGTAGCGCCGACGGACTTGTGTCGCGTTCGGCTTTTATTGTTATTATTTATAATATTTCTCGTCATCGTCGTCGTCGTCTGTGCGCATCACAGATACCGAGTTTTTAAAGACAATAAAATAGTAATAATATTAGATAATAATAAAACCATGACTTCCGGAGTGGCGGACGATCCGCTGCAGTCGCAGCGCCTTGCCACCGACGCGTGCAGCCAAAAGAAAATAAACGAAAACAATCGTCGGGTGAGTTGAATGGTTCAAAATATGGAAATTATAAAATAATGAACACGTCGTTAAATACATTTCAAATAAACGTTAGTCACAGTGATGGGTTATATCACCTATATCGGTTGTTGTGTAAATACGGTTTTTCTACTTGGGAGACGATAAAGTTGTTGAATAATATTGAATTTAAATATTTTTGACTTATAAATTGGTCATAGTAGTTAAGTATTAAAAATAAATGTATTCTCAAGACGACGAATGAATATGCGATAAATATTATGCGATTTTACTACAATTAACTGCGAATCTGTCAATATAATTATTATGAGATATTCGAATAATGAATAATAGCATATATTGCTAATAATACCTAGTTACTAATAATTTTATTGGTTACAACAACAATAATAATTATATATAGTCAATCGTAATTATTACTTTAGTATAAGAAAATGTTTTCAAACACATTTTTATTATTAAATTATGTTTCAATTAAATTACATCACTATTTTATTTCATGACTTTTTATTTAATTTTTATATTTATACGATATGTATTATGTGGTTATAAACTATAAACGCCTTTTTCACAATTGATATAATATTTTCAATGGTAGCAATGAATTATATAAATTTGAATCTAAATCTAATACTCAAAGGATCTATGTCATACCTTATACAATATTTAAATAATGAAACGGTCTCAAATTCAAAGAAAATTAAATAAGTCACTTTTATATTAATTTATTCATAAAATAAAGTAATATCTATATTATTAATATTTTTAAAATTAATGTGTGGATTTTATATTTATGTTAAGTAAAATCACAATTAAAATTATGTAAAATGTAAATACTTAATAGTTTATTACATATTATTTGAAATGTAAAATATTTACCGAATTTAATTTAATTAATATTAAATTTAATAACATGACTTATCAAATTATTTGAGGGTGACTAGGTTATTTTGGTGAAATAGTAAATGTAAATAAATATTAAATCACTCGTTATAAGAAATATAGTTTTGATTTTCATATTTTATTTTGTAACGTAAAATTAGATAGGTATAGGCAGCTTCTTATACATGTGCTATCTGTTTTGTGGTTACAGTGTACTTACTTTGTATATCGCAATCAACACTTAGAATTGAATTTATTTATGACATAAGAAATAACAAACATATTATTTTATACTTTTTTAACTGAATGATACTAGGTTCATATGTCTTTATCAAATTTAAATATAACTCATTCGCAAATAGCTCATTGATTAAATGAAAATAAACTTATAACTATTATTTTTATAAGCAACAAACCAATAATGGAAAAGAAAAGAAGAGCAAGCAATA